TACATGAAGTGGCAACAAGCTTGGATTTACCTTTCTTCATTCTTTCCCAAAAGGCAGTTATAGCAGGAGGGTGTTATAACTGCTACTGATTTTTACTTTCAGTATACAAGTGCTGCCCAAAAAGATCACGGAGAAAAAAAGACTCCGCGTTAAGTTAAAAAATAAAAAAACCTCTGAGACATTAAAGAGAAAGGAAGAGAATAGTTTTAAAAGTGGGAAATGGTCTTCATGACTGACATATGCAGTCAGGGAGTGGCTGAGGAAAGGGCTAAAAACACAAGCAGTAGCTGAGAAAGGGAAGATGTTACACTGGATTTAAGACACACCAAACTAACTTCCCGAATATGTTTTCATTGAATAACATTATTCTGAGTTGTGGCACAAACAGCATGTATTTAGAGGAGGGCTTTTTGGTTTTTTATTAAGGTTTCACAAAATTAGAGTTCCTAGTGGAATATTTCTACAGATAAATTTCAGAGTCCAGTTGCAGAGTTTGTTAACAAATGAGAATTTACTGAACAGCAGCATTCCAAGAGGAACCCAACACCTCATAGCAACAGTTTTATTATGAGAAACTCTTTTTAAACCTATAAGGAAGTTAGGAGAGAAAGGCAACAATCTTGTGCAGAAAAAGACTGAAATAAAAAGCTTTAAATTATTTCACAAAGTCATACTAGATTTTGTTTGCACTTTTTGTGCAATGTGATTATTCTTATATGGGAACTGGCCAATACTACTTTACCTAGGTGAGTTCAATGAAGATATTGCAGAGTCACGTAAATCTCCTATAAAAGGAAAGTGAAACACACACAAATTAAACAAGATAAAATTATTGCTCAAAAAACCTGCTTAAAAAGTAAATACTGTAAGTAGCACAGAGGGAGATAAACAGAGAGCCTTATAAATATGAATGTCATGCACAAATCAGAACTGCACAAAAATACTTGGTAACAATCTTCCTTTGGCAGAAAGATTGCAGTTGTTACAGAGGTAGAGAAAGTTCCAGTCCTTGCACAAACTTGTCAGTGTATGTGCAATGAGTAGTTTCTTAATGTATATAAGGTTTTGCAAGTGTTTTGGAGAATTAGAAATATAAATGTTAGTAGTATTATATCTTCCCACTGTATTTTAAAGATTGCAAACTTAATGCAGACAAACCAAAATGAAATAGTTTTACTGACACGACTGCAAAACCTCAATATCCTAAACCTGCACAACTGACTAGCTGTGTTACTTTTACTATTATGAAGTAATATTGATCACTCTGTAATACATAAAGCTCTCCTCTACCTTATCTGGGGCAAAAGCCCTATCAGGAGCATCTGAAGGAGCTGAGGTTGTTCAGCCTAGAGAAGAGGAGGCTCTCTACAACTCTGTCACTCTCTACAATTCCCTGAAAGGTTGTAGCCAGCCTTTTCTACCAGGCAACAAGCAACAGGACAAGAGGACCCAGTCTTAAACTGCACCAGGGGAGGTTTAGGTTGCACATCAGGAAGAAGTTCTTTACAGAAAGGGTGATGAGATACTGGAATGCATTGCCCAGGGTGGTGGTGGAGTCGTCATACCTGCAAGTGTTTAAGGAAAGGCTGGATGTGGTATTTAGTGCCATGGTCTAGTTGACATGGTGGTGTTTGGTCACAGGTTGGACTCAGTGATTTCAGAGGCCTTTTCCAATCTAATTGATTCTGTGATATGAGCCTCATTTTGCATAGCTTCACATTTCAAGGAGATGGCACATATTACCCCATAGGTAGATAGGAGGACTTATTTTTTACTTAAGGGTGAATCTGACGTGAAACTATATACATATAAAATAAAGTCAAAATATTACCTAAGTAACACAACCACACTTGAAAATACGTAAAATGCAATGAAAGATGATTCCTCAAAAATAGTCCAATAATAAAGACTTTATAAAGTCTCTAAAAGTGCACAGGTTTTATTGCAGTATGATTCCTTTAAAAGTAGAACTAATAAAAACGTGCAAAGGCACTACTCTTCTCTTTAACATTCATACTACCTAAATACCCTGCTGCTATGCAAGCCTACCTGCTTTGACTCACATCAGAGAAATGTTTTAGCTTCTAAAACAGTTGGTTTTATTCAATCGCGTAAGGTATCAAGGCAAGTAGTGCATTTTAAGACTGATATCAGACCGATAAGTACTTGCATAGCCCCGGGAATGGCCTGAAGTTGTATCAGGGGAGGTTTAGGTTGGATATTAGAAGAAGGTTCTTCCCCCAGAGGGTGGCCGTTCATGGAACAGGCTCCCCCGGGAAATGGTCACAGCACCAAACCCGAGTTCAAGAAGCGTTTGGACAACGCTCTGAGGCACACAGTGTGATTTTTGGGGTGTTCTGTCGGACACACACATAGGAGTCGAACTCGATGATCCTTATGGGTCCCTCCCAACTCAGAACATTCCGTGATTCTGGTACAGGGACGACCCTCGGGTACCCCAACATCCCCGAGGGCAGGGCACTGCCCGCGGGCACTCCATATTGGAACCCCCGGGGCCACGCATGGGGCACCGGGCCCCCCCAGCAGGGCCGCATCTGGCCCCGCTGGTTCTCACACATGGGTAATGCCCTCGCAGGGCACAGCCGTCCCTAGTCCCCGCTCCGCTCCGCCCCCCTTCCCGCGATGGGAGCA